GGCCCATCCCAGAGCCCGCACCTCCTCCTGCACTCCAATATCCTGTTTCCGCCACAGCCCCCTGCAGTATTCTGAATCCCTCACCCCATCCCCCCAGCACTCCAAAGCCTCAGCCCCAAACCCACTCCAGAGCCCCCGCCCACACCCTGTAAGCTGGGCGCTTGTGCAGCCACTCAGAAGAAACTCTGATGCGCCCAGCTGGCCCATCCCAGAGCCCGCACCTCCTCCTGCACTCCAATATCCTGTTTCCGCCACAGCCCCCTGCAGTATTCTGAATCCCTCACCCCATCCCCCCAGCACTCCAAAGCCTCAGCCCCAAACCCACTCCAGAGCCCCCGCCCACACCCTGTAAGCTGGGCGCTTGTGCAGCCACTCAGAAGAAACTCTGATGCGCCCAGCTGATTAGCAGAGCGCTCACAGCACCTACAGTCGGCAGCATGTGTTTCTTCTGGCGGTGCACATCCCCGTGTGCCTTGGTGCACAGAACAAAATGTATTCCTCCCATGGATGAAAAAAATAGGAATATTGCCTGCCCCCCAAGTACCTACCCCAGCTCGGAGTTCCCCTTGGCCCAACCCCTGCCACACACTGTCCGTGTGCGGAATGACTTTTGTTATGTGATACATCACTTCCATATTGGCGCGCACAACGAAAATCATTCTGCATGTGGACATAAAAAACTAGAGAGAATACCTGTCCGGTGTGTGGCATCAATCACAAGATCAGGACCTAAATGTGCCCCTCAACAAAGTCACTCTTCAGAATTTGGGAGCCAAGTCCCTAAGGGAAAAAATCAAGTGTTTTTGGTGTGTCTTGAAATCTGGTGGGGTTTAGAATTACCACTGACGAGGACAGGAAAAGGCCACACACCTCAGAGTCTAGGGCATTGCTGCTAGCGGAAAGGGCCTTGTGCTAGTGCTGTTAATTCCTCACTCTCATTAGTGATGGTGTCATCATTTCCACACTGTTCTGTGGCCCTTTTCAAAAGCTTTTCTGAGTGTCGGATGAATGCGATTGTCCTCAGCGTCAGTGCTTAGGACCCGTTGCTTGAGCTCAGCTATATCCTGAGAAGAGCGCGTATTTCTTTGCCCGTTCCCTTCACATAATGTGTTGTTTTTCCTGTGCGTGTCTTCGAAAGACTTTCAGGGAGATGAAGCTCCGTTCTGGTTTAAAAAAAAAAAAGGAAGAGAAAATCTACTGTGACGAGACACCGTGTTGTTGTATGTGGCTGGGATTAGTTAACCCCGAGCCTTGTGCGTTCAGACGTTTCTAAGGCACTTACTGTCTTGCCAGCTGCCCACCGTCAGTCCTTGCTGTCCGAACAGGTACTAAGTTGTGGTCACACTAGACCAGCGGTTTTCAAACTTTTTTCCTCATGACCCAGTTGAAGAAAATGGTTGATGCTGCGAGCCAACAGACTGAGTTTAGAATGTGGGCTCTGGGGTGGGGCCGAGGATGAGAGCTTTGGGGTGTAGGAAGGACCCCTGGCCTGGGAGGCAGGTCAACACTGGGGCAGGAGGGACTTACCTTGAGAGGCTCCGGCTCAGCACTGCGGCAGGGGGCTAAGGCAGCTTCCTGCCTGTCCTGGCCCTGCAGACCAGGCTGCCCCCAGAAGCAGCCAGCAGCAGGTTCCCAGCCAATGGGAGTGCGGAGCTAGTGCTAGGGGCGAGGGCAGTGCTCTGAGCCCTTTCCCCTATTGCCGGCTGCTTCTGGGGCGCAGCGCAGTCTACGGAGCCTTAGTTCCACCTGCAGCAACGAGCGCAGCCTGACATTCCACGACACGGTGCTGGGTCCCGAGCCATAGAAAACCGCTGCTCTAGACCCAGGTTGTCCCGGAGAATCGTTCTAGCGCACGTAAAAACCAGGAAGTGAAACCCCTCGGCCCAGTTGGACTGCCCTGAGCTGAGCGGAATACAGGCCTCTCTTTGGATGTGTGGACGTGGCTGGGGAAGCAGGCCGGTGGTTTGGATTCACTGACCACGCTTTTTCCTCCTCTTCCCTGGGCTCTAGCAGGCGGACACAACGCCAGCGGACTCCGGCGGCGTGGAGTCCACTCTGGTGGAGAGGCGGGAAATGTACAGAGCTGCCATCGCCAACGCGAAGCAAGCTGGTGATAGCTCCAAGATGCGCAGATACGAACGGGGCCTCCAGGTGAGCCTACAAGAACACCAGCGGGAGCGGGACCGGGCTAACGTCTGGGTAACCAGCTTGTCGATGCTTTAAGAACGAAACCGAGCAGATGTTTCAGAAACGATTTGATCTTCAGCGTGCAGCTGAGCATGGTCAGCACTGCCAGACTTCAAAGCATGACACTTAATCCATAGTTAGGCACCCACATAGGGGGGTTTATTTTCCCCCCCTTTTGCTCCTAGTGCCTTTGGGGGACCCTATGTGTCCTGAGCCCTTCTGAAAATCAGGCCATTTTTATTTGGGTGTCTCACTATGGATATTACAATAGCTGATAACTCCTCGGCAGTCGGTGTATTGCAGGGTGCGGGGCTCTGATCGTAGATAGAATCCTAGAACACTAGAACTGGAAGGGACCTCGCCAGGTCATCGAGTCCAGTCCCTGCCCTCACGGCAGGACCAAGCACCATCTAGATGTCTTCATATTTATCGCTATCGCTGTGTCCTCAGAGACCGTATCGAACCCAAAGGCCACAGCATGGTCCTACTGGCACCTGTACTGCTGCAGGTGTTGGCTTTCCAATTAGATGTAAAATGGAGATATCGCTCACTCATGAGAGAGGCCAGACTGGGTCAGCCCAAAGGTCCATCTAGCCCAGTGTCCGGTCTTCTGACAGTGGCCAATGCCAGGTGCCCCAGAGTGGATGAACAGAACAGGGAATCATCAAATGATCCCTCCCCTGTTGTTTATTCCTAGCTTCTGATAAACAGAGACAAGGGACACTGTCCCTGCCCATCCTGGCTAACAGCCATCGATGGGAGTTATCCTCTATGAACTTATCTAACTCTTTCTTTGAACCTCGTTATAGTCTTGGCCGTCACAGCCTCCTCTGGCAGGGAGTTCCACAGGTTGATGGTGTGTTATGTGACACTGCACCAGGGTCATTAAAGTTCCCCTAGTGCTTTTTGTAAGTCAGAGTTCCCATCCCAGCCTCCCGGCCAGGTTCATTCTGCATCTTCATTTGGGTGTGGAGTCTTCAGGTCTGAACCAGGATGTGCTGTGACCGTGATATGCTGCCCTTCCCCGCGGGGCTGCTTCCCGCCACAGAGCGCTGCGTGTGTGTGATGCAATTTCTCTATAGAGCGCATGTGGCGGGGGCGCTTTTGGTCCCAGAGGCTGGATGGCACCACAGTGATCTGAGAGGCGGCTGCTTTCTAGTCAGGAAAAATGTGGCGCTTGCTGCTTGGCTGAGGAACGGCTCTTTAGCTGATGACAGGCTGTGGGTCTAATTAGGCTGCAGTTTCTGGGCTGGTTTAGGACTAAGGTGCTGGCCTCTAGGATGTAAAAACGCACAAAAGTAGTTAACCTGTTAAAATGTTTCACTGGTTAACTACTGCAGGCGGGAGGCTGCTCTAACCCACTGCACCATGGGCCTAACTGGTTGGGCTGGTTAACCGGTTACCTTGTAAGCTGGCGGGTAAGCCACCTGCTTACCGGGTAACCTCTTACATCCCTCCTGGCATCCAGTGTTCTTGTTGGGTTTCTCGCAGAAGCAATGGCTAGTTTTTAAGTGCCTGCTCCTATAGCTGTTGGCCGAAACCAGGCACGAGAGTCTGGCCGCAGCTAGTTCTCCATTGCTGTTTGTTTCCAAGACTTTAGAAAACATGCTGACCTCTGTGAGGAAGGGCAAAAAGATCGATGAGGAAGAAATCCCTCCCGCAGTCGCACTGGGAAAGGGCGGGAACTCCCCCCTGCCGAGTATATCCGGCCATCCTCTGCCACAGCCACCCGCCGCAGCACCTCCACAGGCCCCCTCTGCAGCGTCTGCCAAGCCGCCGCCTCCTGTTCTGCCAAAGCCAGCCCTGGCCTTGCCCATCAGACCCCCGGGGACGCCAGAGGGAAAACCTGCCCCTTTGGCGCGATCAGGTACGACTGGGGGGCCTGTTCATTCTCCCTCATTGCAAATGATGGAGTTGATAAATACCTACTGATCTAGGACCATGATGTTCCCTGGTCTGGCCGGGGGTGACTCTGAAACAGACACAAAGCGCAGGGACTTTTTTCTCTGTCTCCCGTCAGGTCCTGAAAACTCCAGCCCACAGGCGCTCCTCCAGGACAGGCAGCGGGCGTACAAGCTAGCCGCGCTGCAAGCTAAACAGGAAGGCAGCGTTGAGTTGGCCACGAAATACTACCGCATCGCGAAGGTAGGTGCCTGCCAGCCACAGCGCTCTTCTGGCAGCCTGGCGCGCCCCTGGTCTAGTCCCAGAGGTGGCCCTTTCAGGGCGTGCTGACAAGAAGTTGACCGGTTTGTGCTTAGGAGGCTGGTGGTAACGCACATCCACTGGTGCTGCAGCAGGTTTGGGACTCTCTTGCACCTTGGCTTGTCTTACTCTGGGACAGGCTTTTCCTTCAGTTCAGCTGGTCAGCTTTGTACGGGGAATTAAAACCAAACTGTGGCCTGCGGGGGGAAAAAAGACCTTGAAAACTGCCGTTAATGCAGGGGTGAGGGTCATGCCTACATACCGGCCCGGATGTGGCTGAAGAAAATACATTCATCTGCTCCTATCTATCTGCCACCTTTGGAGCATCTTCCCTAACCCACACTGAGCCTGCACTGGGAGGATGGTTCATTTGCTGTAGCAGGAGGCTGGGAGCCCAGAGGTCTGATTCTGGGGGAGACTGGGGCCTAGTAGTGAGAGCAGAACACTGGCAGCCAGGACTCCTCTGTTCTAATTTCTGCTCACTGTGACATCATGGGGGCAAGCTGCTTTGGTTTTCTCAGTTGTGAATTAGGAGATAAATCCCACTTCACACTGAGGATGTTAAAATGCGGGTAATTGGCTAATTGTGTAACCACTGAAATGTTTTCAGCAGTTACACACACCTGCAGCACGGGAACCAGTGCACACCGGGAGCCGCTTTTACACCGGCTTCTGGCACGCACTGGCAGGGGCCCCCCCCCGCCGCCCCCT